AAAAAAAAAAAAGGAATAGTGGGAGTTAAGCCTGCCTATTCTAGTCAGGTGGGTAGCCACCTATTAGCTGTGTGGTCCAGATCTGGCTTCCCAGGTCTATGAGTATTTGTATTAAGTATTTTAAGGCAGGTTTCAGGCCTTTATGAGATCAAACTAGATCATATCAATCCATTCTCCTTAGCTTGTCCTGCTTTTGTGGTTATATTGGACTGACAGGGCACACTTTTTATCCACATGTCTCACAAAGTATTCCTGAGGATTGTGGAAGTCAGTGCATGGGAACTGCCCCATTCTTTTGGCCAGGATTGAGCTTGTCCATTTTGAGCATGGTAAAAGGAACCCAGGGTCTGAATTAGGCCTGGAGCAACATTGGCCCCTTCTGTATAGCTGACCTTTTCCTCTCCTGTGAACTTGATGCCAGGAGCACTCAACAGATCAGAACCGATCTGTACTCAGCACAGCCTATTTATATGGACAATTATTATGGGAGGGAAAAGAACATGTAGAGGTTTTTTTTTGCAAATCAATTCAACAACACCCATATTTCACAGCCTTGGACTTTGAGATTGACAGAGCTATGTTCGGAATTTTTTTTTTTAAAGATTTTATTTATTTATTTGAGAGAGAGAGAATGAGAGAGAGCACATGAGAGGGGGGAGGGTCAGAGGGAGAAGCAGACTCCCTGCCGAGCAGGGAGCCCGATGCGGGACTCGATCCAGGGACTCCAGGATCATGACCTGTGCTGAAGGCAGTCGCTTAACCAACTGAGCCACCCAGGCGCCCTGTTCGGAATTTTTAAAGACAGCCTTCCCCAGACATACCAAAAAGCCCAGTTTACCATACAGTGTGAAGAGTTAGGATTGCAAAGGCAAATTCTTTGCAGGTAGCCTGCAACTGAGAAGTGAGGCATGCAAGGCAATTCAGCAGAATGGGAATAGTTTAACCAAACTCTGTAATGTTAAGAAAAATTAATGAGCATTTCTGATTCTGTCAAATTGTCTAAAAGGCCAAATATAAGCAGAGAGGAGGGAGAGTTGGTCAGAATGATTTGGCTAGTAGAAGACATCTGTCAGGACAGGGCTCATGGGACCTTCTTGGCCAGACTTAGCCATACCACATGTCCCGAGACATGATGTTTGTCATGGGCATGCTATGAAGGTGCACACACGAGTTGTGTCTTTCCACAGTGTCAGCTTTATTCAATCATAAAGCAAAGTTAATCACAGTTCTAAAGCAGGTTCAGGATTCCAAACCCAATGACATTTCACCATGTGATTAAACTTGGCTTCTTACACAGCACACAGAGCAGGACATAAGACAAACTACACAACAAATAAGATAACAAGGGATATAGGAAGTCAGTCTGTGGGTGTGCAGTTGAGATAAGGCCTCAGTCTGGTCTTGGTCAGCTCTCAGCACTTACTGCTTATTATGTTCAAGCAGTGAAGGATCTTGGATCTTCAGAGATCAATCTGGCACAGTGTTCAGTGGCAGTTGCCTTTTTTAAGTGGTCAGACATAGAGAGGTCATGTCTGAAGAGTCTGACAGTTTGCTGCAAAAATCCTCCCCTTTTTAAAGGGATTTAATTGGTCCAGGGTCCCTGCAGACCTCCTCTGGTTCTGCTCGTTACCAGTTCTGGGGCGTCAGCTGATGCTGGTCCCAGCGATATCTTATAGCTGAAGTACCTTTAACTACTTGCATCATTGCATGACACAGGCCCCTGCTTGACATGAGAGACTCCATTTTGCTCTCTACAATGTGCCCTCAGGGGGGGAGTCGAAGGCAGTGCTAAGAGGAGGAGGGGCTGAAAGACCACTCTGAGAGATAGTTACTTAATCAGACCTTACATTCGACAGGTCCACAGGTCATTTCATCCATCCCTCTGTTTTTTTTTTTAATTCATAAAATATTTGACATTCAAAAAGATACATAAATTATATAATGGGTACTTATGTACTTACTATCCAACTTAAGAAATAATTCATTACAGGGGCGCCTGGGTGGCTCAGTCATTAAGTGTCTGCCTTAGGCTCAGGTCATGATCCCAGGGTCTGGGATCAAGCCCTGCATCAGGCTCCTTGCTCAGCAGGCAACCTGCTTCTCCCTCTCCCACTACCCCTGCTTGTGTTCCTCTCTCGCTGTGTCTCTCTGTCAAATAAATAAATAAAATCTTTAAGAAAAAAAAAGAAATAATTCATTACAAATACATTCTTCCTCCTCTCCCTCTCTGCTCCTTCCCTTTCTTTTCCTTCCTTCCATCTTCCCATTCTCCTCTCTGTACTCTCTTGAATTTGGCATGTGTCATTATCATATTTTTGTATAATTTCTGTACATATGTATGCATACCTAAATATTATGTGGCATTTCTTTGTAGGTTTTTAAACCTCATATAAGTGGGATAGAGATGAGATAAAACTGTACAGAAAAGAAACCAGGGGTGTGATGAGCATGGGATTTTAGTTTGCTGTGGCATCATAGCTTTTTAAATTTTTTTTTAATATTTAATATTTTATTTTATTTAAATGCAATTAATTAACATATAGTATATTATTAATTTCAGAAGTAGAGTTCAGTGATTCATCAGCGGCATATAACACCCAGTGCTAATTACATCATGTGCCCTCCTTAATGCCCATCACCCAATTACCCCATACCCCCACCCACCTCCCCTTCAGCAACCCTCAGATTGTTCCCTATAGTTAAAAGTCTTTTATGGTTTGTACCCCTCCCTGATTTCATCTTATTTTATTTTTCCCTCCCTTCCCCTATGATCTTCTGTTTTGTTAAATTCCACATGAATGAAATCATATGATAATTATCTTTCTCTGATTGACCTATTTTGCTTAGCATAATATCCTCTAGTTCCATCCACGTCGATGTAAATGGTTAAGATTTTTTTTGATGGCTGAGGAATATTCCATTGTGTGTGTGTGTGTGTACACACCATATCTTCTTTATTCATTCATCTGTTGATGGACATCTCAGCTCTTTCCATAGTTTGGCTATTGTGTACATTGCTGCTATAAACATTGGGGTGCAGGTGCCCCTTCAGATCACTATGTTTATATCCTTTGGGTGAATAGCTAGTAGTGTAATTGCTAGGTCATAGGGTAGCTCTATATTTAACTTTTTGAGAAACCTCCATACTGTTTTCCAGAGTGGCTGTACCAGCTTGCATTCCCACCAGCGGTGTAAGAGGGTTTCCCTTTCTCCACATCCTCACCAACATTTTTTGTTTCCGGACTTGTTAATTTTAGTCATCCTGACTGGTGTGATGTGGTATCTCATTGTGGTTTTGATCTTTATTTCTCTGATACCCAAGTGATGTTGAGCATTTTTTTTCATGTGTCTATTAGCTGTCTTTATGTCTTCTTTGGAGAAATGTCTGTTCAGCATCATAGCTTTTAAATTGGGTGGCAGGTTCACCAAAACTTAGTGTATTATTAAAAGTAAGTAAGTAAATAAATAGAGAAATAAGAGCACCTTGTGTGGACTAATGATGAGTGTCTCATGGACTGAAAGTATTAATCCAATTCTATATACCAGAGAGTAAAACAATAATAAAGGATAGGCAATATACAGTTTGTATCCATCTACAACTTTTCTTTTTCTCATGCAGTAAGATTTGTGAGATTCATTCAGTCAATATATGAAGCTTTTTATTCACTCTTCCCCCCCCTTCTCCTGCCAGACTAGGCCTTCTCCAAAATTCCCCAGAATGCTAAATGTTCAACCCTTTCCATGTAATCCTTCCTGGCCAGCAGCCTGTGGCCACCTTGCTACTATTACCACTCATCTCCACTCTGATATGCAGGTCTCCTTAGCCTGCTTGAATTCCCAGGTACACCCCAGGCAAACATCCAGCTTATTTCATACTTCTGGAAGGCTTGCAAATATTTTAGAAAAGAAAAGGCCCATGCTCGCAATGCTTGTGTGGCTTACTGCATCCTAATCCCCATATATGTGTCTTACAAACACACGTAAGGATTGATGCTGGGGTCTGAGACAGAGCCCTTGGATGTAGGACAAAGGCTTTCTCTAAGAGCATCTAGTTAACCAAACTATCAATGTCATACTGCTAAGCTAGCCTGCCTACATTTGACCAAACCAACCCCTATTTGGTACTCCAAAACAATGGAAGTCTTAGCGTCCTGCTGTGCCCATGAGCCAACTTTCATGGTACCTACTGTTGACATACCTCCAGTTAAAAGCCTTTTCTTCCTTCCTACCTAGGACCTGATCCGAAGAGACATTCTGTACTACAAAGGCCGCATTGACATGGATAAATATGAGGTAGTTGACATTGAAGATGGCAGAGATGATGACTTTAATGTCAGCATGAAAAATGCCTTCAAGCTTCACAACAAGGAGACTGAGGAGGTACATCTATTCTTTGCCAAAAAGCTGGAGGAGAAGATACGCTGGCTCAGGGCTTTCAGAGAAGAGAGGAAAATGGTACAGGAAGATGAAAAAATTGGTAAGTGACCTGAGAGGAGAAAGAAGAATATGGCTATGAAGGACATAGAGGATTTGAATTAGTTTTCATTTTTCTAGAAGCAGAGGGAAGATTTCTGTTGCAAACTGACCTAATCCATTTTGGTGGTTTCCTATTATTAGGTCCTTTGTGGCAGATATCAGTAGTTTCTTCTAGTCAGAGTTAAGTGAGAGTTATAATTTGGCCTCCCTTACAGTCTCATGACTAGATAAGACTATTACACTGGAAGCAAACCTCAGTCTCAATTCTCCCAAACATACAAACATTTATTAACAAACAAACACAAAAGCAGTCATACAACCTGTTCTGTAATCTTAGTAAAGTCCCAGTTTTGTTCTTAGATACATGGCAGCATCTTCTGTGAAGAGGTTAGTCAAGGAAGAGTTGGTGATATTATAGGAACAGGCTTCAACTAACTTTCTAGTTAGAGTCTGTTGACAAAATCCTCTGATGGGGAACAAGACATAACACCTGTTTTCAATCTTGAGCTTAAGGCTTCCTTCTGAAGGGTAAAAGCTATAGGACTCACTGGATTTTTATACCCAGGTCTTGTGAGGGCTAAAGAGCCTGTAAGACATTTGTGACTAGTTCACATTTGAATAACATTCATTTTACCAATGAAAATTTATTTTTAACATGTGTTAGGCTAATTAGGCCTCCTGCATTAAAGTGACTGAACTGCTGGGAGTAGTGGTCTCTGGAGCAAGGACTTCTGAGTGTTTAATGTGTTAACAAATCACCTCTTGAGTGTGTATGCCTGATTAAGGCACTTCAGATGTTAACTAAATGCCCCTAGAGCATAGATTAAAATTAATGCACATGTATATATCACACTTTCTGTATGAAAGCATTTTAAAATAAATTGTAGAAAATATAACTGGGTCTAAAGCCATGATCACTTGCATGATTCAGTCACACTAAACCATAATTTTTTTGGCTTTAAATAGGTTGTTCCCCTTTTCCAGAGGGTATATAACTAGCAGAGAGATTTTTCATGCTGCTTTCGAACTGTGGGATTTAGGTGCCATTGACTATAGCTTTGTGGTTTACAAAGTACTATCTGGTCTCTTGCTCATGGTCCTGGCATTCTAGCATAAAAATACCAAACAGCCAGGCTTTGTAATTCCTTGAGAAGACACAGTTTCTGTTTTTGCCCCACTCTTAATGAGAGTAGAATTTTATATTAAAACACACGTATGCTCAAGCTGGTAGAAACTGCCTCTAGAAAAATGGGCCTACCCATTGAGTCCTGGTGCAAATGGATTCTTCTCTCCTTCAGTGTTGGGGATTTAAATGGTTTAGAGATAAGGAAGGGTGATCAGAAAGACACTACTTAGTCTAATCCTAGTTCTCTCCTCAGGTTTTGGGTAGAGTGCACATTAATAATTCACTTTGAGTCCCATTGAAGCCAAATAGCTTTTAGCATATGAGCACTGCAGTTGGACAAGATGTAGAGTGGTACAGAAATGCTACTGGGCTGCTTCTCTCAGTGGCAGGCAGCAGCAGCCTCTGATACCACCTAGGTTGTTAGACCTATTAAAGATATTGTCTTAATGTGCTTTATGCAGACCCTAGATCAACTAGAAGATCCCCACCATTCTGTCTGGTTCCAGTGTTATATTTCCCACACAATGCCCTAATAACCTGTAACTTGAAGAATCTGCTTCTAATAAAAAAGCTTCCAGAAATTACATTATTTTTTAAAATTTTGTTTAAAGTTTTAATTTAAATTCCAGTTAGTTAACATACAGTGCAATATTAATTTCAGGTGTACAATTTAGTGATTCCACACCTATACACAACACCATATGCTCATCACAACAACTCTACTCCTTAATCCCATCACCTATTTAACCCCTCCACCAGATCACCTCCCCTCTGGTAACAACTGCTTTGATCTCTATAGTTAAAAGGTCTCTTTTTGTTTCTTTCTCTCTTTTATCCCCCTATGATCATTTGTTTTGTTTCTTAAATTCCACATATGAATGCAATCATATGGTATTTGTCTTTCTCTGATTTATTTCACTTAGCTTAATACACTTTAGCTCCATCCACAATGTAGTACACACACACACACACACACACACACACACACACACAAAATGGAATATTACTCAGCCATAAAAAATAACGAAAACTTGTCATTTGCAATGACATGGATGGAGCTACAGAAATCACTTTCTGACAAACCTGTTATCTTTTCTAAAACATTATTTTTTTTCTAATTATAATAATAGCACTTTTATTGTAGGCAATTTTGGAGAAAAACACAGAAAAATACAAGAGAAAACTAAAAATCACATAAAAACATCCTACCCAGAGAGAGATAACTTTTGTAAATATTTTATATATTTCCTTCCTGTTCTTTTGTGTATAAATAAAATACTAGGACTAAGATGGCTGACTATCTTTATGTCTCCCCCCAACCTCTGTCTCTCCATGATGAACAGTTCTAAATTTATATGCTCATTTTACACTTAAAATCATACCATTAACATTTCCCTAAATCATTTTTTTAATTTTTGTTATTTTATTTAAATTCAATTAATTAATATATAGTGTATTACTAGTTTCAGAGGTAGGGTTCAGTGATTCATCAGTGGCATATAACAACCAGTGCTAATTACATCACGTGCCCTCCTTAATGCCCATCACCCTGTTACTCCATCCCCCCATCCTCAGATTGTTTCCTATAATTAAGGGTCTCTTATGGTTTGTCTCCCTCTCTAATTTCATCTCATTTTATGTTTCCCTTCCTTCCCCTATGTTCATCTGTTTTGTTTTGTAAATTCCACATATGAGTGAAATCATATGTATTTGTCTTCCTCTGACTGACATATTTCACTTACAATAATATCCTTTATTTCCATCCATATCATTCATACATACATACATACCACATCTTCTTTATCCATTCATGTGTTGATGGACATTTGGGCTCTTTCCATAGTTGGACTATTGTGGACATTGCTGCTATGAACATTGGGGTGCCCCTTCAAATCACTAAATTTATATCTTTTGGATAAATATCTAGTAGTGCAACTGCTAGGTTGTAAGGTAGTTCTATTTTTAACTTCTTGAGGAACCTCTATATAGTTTCCCAGAATGGCTGTACCACCTTGCATTCCCACCAACAGTGTAAGAAGGCTCCCCTTTCTCCACCTTCTCACCAACATTTGTTGCTTCCTCAGTTGTTAATTTTACCAATCTGACTGGTGTGATATGGTATCTCATTGTGGTATTGATTTGTATTTCCCTGATGCCAAGGGATATGCAGCATTTTTTCATGTGTCTTTTGGCCATTTGTATGTCTTCTTTGGAGACATGTCTGTTCATGTCTTCTGCCCATTTCTTAGCTAGATTTTTTGTTTTCTGGGTGTTGAGTTTAATAACTTCTTTATAGACCGTGGATACAAGCTCTTTATCTGATAAGACATTTGCAAATATCTTCTCCCATTCTGTAGGTTGTCTTTTGGTTTTATCAACTGTTTCCTTTGCTGTGCAGAAGCTTTTTATCTTGATGAAGTCCCAAGAGGTCATTTGTGCTTTTGTTTCCCTTGGCTTTGAAGACATCTCTAGCAAGAAGTTGCTATGGCTGAGGTCAAAGAGGTTGCTGCCTGTGTTCTCCTCTAGGATTTTGATGGATTTCTGTCTCACATTTAGGTCATTCATCCATTTTGAGTTTGTTTTGTGTATGGTGTAAGAAAATGGTCCAGTTTCATTCTTCTGCATGTGGCTATCCAATTTTCCCAACACCATTTGTTGTAAAGACTGTTCTTTTTCCATTGGATAGTCTTTCCTGCTTTGTTGAAGATTAGTTGACCTTAGAGTTGAGGGTCCATTTCTGGGTTCTTTATTCTGTGCCACAGATCTATGTGTCTGTTTTTGTGCCAGTACCATACTGATTTGATGATTACAGCTTTGTAATATAGCTTGAAGTCTGGAATTGGTTGTCACCAGCTTTGGTTTTCTTTTTCGACATTCCTTTGGATATTTGGAGTCTTTTCTGGTTCCATACAATTTTTAGGATTGTTTGTTATAGCTCTGTGAAAATTACTGATGGTATTTTGATGGGGATTGCTTTGGATGTTTAGATTGCTTTGGATAGCATAGGCATGTTCTTCCAATCCATGAGCATGGAATGTTTTTTTTTCATTTCTTTGTGTCTTCCTCAATTTCTTTCATAAGTGTTCTATAGTTTTCAGAGTACACATCCTTATCTCTTTGGTTAGGTTTATTCCCAGGTATCTTTTGTTTTTTGGTGCAATTGTAAATGGGATCAATTCTTTAATTACTCTTTCTTCTGAAAAATGAGAATTACAGAACAATATCCCTGATGAACATGGATGCCAAAATTCTCACCAAGATATAGTACCTAATAGGATCCAACAGTACATTAAAAGGATTATTCACCATGACCAAGTGGGATTTACTCCTGGGTTGCAGCGGTGGTTCAACATCTGCCTATCAATCAGTGTGATATACCACATTAATAGAAGTAAAGACAAGAACCATATGATCCTCTCAATTGATACAGAAAAAGCATTTGACAAAATACAGTATCCTTTCTTTTTTTTAATTTTTTTATTATTATGTTATGTTAATCCCCATACATTACATCATTAGTTCTTGATGTAGTGTTCCATGATTCATTGTTTATATATAACACCCAGTGCTCCATTCAATATGTGCTCTCTTTAATACCCATCACCAGGCTAACCCATCCCCCCAGCCCCCTCCCCTCTAGAACCCTCAGTTTGTTTCTCGGAGTCCATAGTCTCTCATGGTTCGTCTGCCCCTCCAATTTCCCCCCTTCATTCTTCCCCTCCTGCTATCTTCTTCTTTTTTTTTTTTTTTAACATATAATGTATTATTTGTTTCAGAGGTACAGGTCTGTGATTCAACAGTCTTACACAATTCACA